AGTCCCTGCCATAGGCGTGGGAAAATCGTGTGACCCCAGTCACCAGCAGACTCAGTACCCCCGTTAATGCCAAAGCTCCTGGGCGATTCCTGAACTTGATGTTCCTGCACTGGTCTTGACTTTTGCTGCTTCCCAGACAGCTGAACTGTACATTCAGCCCTCCTCAGGGGAGAGAGACTTTTGAAGGACTAGCGGACACACATGAGTAGCCTAGAAATTCCCAGAGACTCTTGGAATAAAACTATTAAACTATTGAACAGCAGCTCTTCTGACCCTGACACACACAGATTTTATTTTTTTTTTTTCCACTTGTTTTATTAATTTTTGCTTCTGAAGACAGGGAAAACGAAGCAAGGCAAGGTGAAGACATTAATCTGATTGTGTAGCTTTGTGGCAGGAAACGTGTTAGTGAAAAGAAGCAATTTTTCTGCTTTAAGTTGCATTTACAAATACACTGGTGGTACCTTGTCTAGAACTGCTGACTCTCTTACAAAAGAAATGTTTTGGAAAGGATGACATATTTTGTCTCATATAAAGTTCCTTGGTGCTCACCAGTAAAATTCTTCAATACCAATAAATAATCAAAGACCTAATTTTTATATTATTAAGACGTTTAAGTGTACGTACAATACTAAGTTATAAATATATTCTGTAACAGGTGATAAATTCAGGTTATCACTCACTGACTCGTTTAGAAACTCATTTTTTTCTGCTGGATTTAAAATTTCTGGTGAAATTGGTGAGGAGTGTACTCAGCACATCCTGGTAGCTGAGTCAATTGAAATTGCACCTGTTCTTGGATGCAAGTCATAACAAATGCAACCCATATACATTGTAAAGAAAAGGACTTGTATGCACTTTTTCCAATTAACATCTGCCTTTTGGCAAGTCATTAACCTATTTTCTTACAAAGAAACGGCTTCAATTGTATTATGCATCCGAAGCGTGCAAAAGTCCCTGAGGGGGCACTCTGACAAAAACATACTGTTCCTGGATCCAATGTGAACATACATATTCATTAATTGTTTGGGGCAAAGAGTGCAGAATTTCTGATTTTTACAAGTCTTACAAGGTAAACAGGTTACATAAAGCTATGGCCCTGGAAATACATTCACGTCCCAGCTACTGTCGCTCAACAGAAAACTCAAGAGTGGTTTTGTGCTGTGATATGGCAATGAAAATAATTCAGCAACGCAGTAATAAGTCATTTAGGAAGAAAAAAAAACCAAAACAGTTTACCCTAAAAATAGTACAGCGTATTTATTTATTTAAATAAATAAGATGTATTTATTTAAATAAATATGAATAAATAAAGGCAGGAAGTTGTATTTCTCGAACCCCTCACGCTACAGGGACCTGTTCAGGCCATCCTAAAATGGCAAGGAGAACCTATTCTACCACAATTTCTCCAGCCAGAAGATTAGTTCAATCAAAATTTAAAGCTACAGTTTAAGTTTCTTGCCATAAAGAGAATCATAACAAAACGAAGAATTATTCTCTTATGTCTTATTGTCACATGTAAAAGCAGGAAACAACAATCCGCCAAAGATGAGGGAGTTGTTCAGATATATTCACTTCCAGGAACTGCTTTTCCAAAACCGAAAGTTTATAAAAAATGTGTCAGCAGTAGTAAAAAGTAAATACCGAAGATTTTTATTGTTGGAGAATGTAGTGGTGTGTTTAAAAAAACCCCAAAAACAATAAACAAACCAAAAATGAAACAACCTCGAAAAAATAAAAAAGAGAAAACCCAGAATACAGTTTGAGCTGTCAGGTTGGTCCATAAAGCACAATAGATCACTGGCATAAACTGATGTCTCAGTCTGATTTTGCCCTGGTATTTGAAAACCTGTATGTTCAGACCAAAAGAAAAAGTGAAGTGCCTTAAGGTCCGACACTGCAACATTGACCCATTTGGTGTCTGCCCCCACAGTGATAATTAGGAACCTCTAAACAGGCTCCCAAAGGAAATGCATATTGCCATCCAAAATGAAAAGCCGAGAAAAATACCTTTATTGCCTTAACATCGTGCTTTATGTAATGCCCAAGAAAAAAATTCCATTAAAATTCCACTAAACTTTGATGGGAATTACAAATAAAATTTAAGACACAGTAGTAACTGACAGCATTTCTTTCAATTTGGAAGAGCAGTTTTCTTTCAAAATGTCTGCAGAAGCACGTACGATGAGTTGCTGAGCTACTGCACAATGCTTTGACATTTCAAGAATTTGAAGTTGGGTTCCTCCAGAGACAGTCTCCCAGCGACGCCGGCAGGCGAGGGAATGATTCCTGCTTCCACCTTCCCCCTCTCCCTCACAAACCTGGGGGATCTACCGCATGTCATTCAGACGTTTGTGTTATTTTTTTTAATAAGTAATTGAGCCATTTTTGCAGTAGCTGGCCTGGAGGCTGGAAACAGGCTTTCTCCAACAGGGTGGCCTATTTACATTTACTATCAAAGGGATAACTTAGCTTGAGGAAAGCTTGACTGCATCAGGTACGTGGTTCACCTTGTTTAGACCAAGTACAGATTTTCAGTACTGCACTGCCGTCTGCAATAGATATATACTTTTCAGAATAACTTAAAGACCTGTGCAATTATTTTTTCACATGATGCAGAAGCACAACTAAGGCTAAACAGCAGTCATTGTCCTCTAGCTCTATAAGATAATTCAAATTAGCCAAGTCACCAGTTATTGGCCAAAGCACAAACCCTAGAGTAAATGCTTCTGAGAGTTTAACCAGCCTCTTCAGGTGCTTTTAAAAGAAGTTTTCCTATTCCTATTTATTTGAAATTATATGAATCAAGAGAACGAGATAAGTAGCCCACATCAACGTTCCTTAAAAGAAACATCATGTTTGCTGGTTGTGGTTGTGTTTCAGGAGAGCCATCACAGCTTGAGGAAAATACCCCCATCCTGTTTCTCAAACAACCCCCTCTAGTTATACAGACATCTCAAGTGTCTTGCATGTTGATTTTCAATATCAACAGACTACCTGACAGAATGACAAGAACATAGCTTAATTTGGAAATGTTATGTTAGTTCACCAGATTCGGAGCACAGGAATAAACTGCATTAAGTAGTAAATGCTCCAGATAATAGGTACTGAAAAGGAAGAAGGATTAGTGATAAGGCAGAAAGGAGAATTTCAGCAGAGATTTCATTAAAAAATACAGAAGTAAAAGAAATGCCCAAATCTTGTTGATAAATAATCCTGAAAAGCTTAACAACAATAACAAATCTACAGATATAAAACATGTACATATATATATATATATATGTAGTCTGCTCAGAGAAAACAAGAGACAAGCAAAGGCTTTTAATAGCTACATGGTCCTGTGTCTTCTAATGAAGCTGAGAAAAGGCAAAGACCACAAGAGTATTTGCAAATGCATAAAGCAAAGTATATCTGACCTAAAAGACCGTATTTACATAACTATGCGTTATATAGCATTATAAACAATTGCATAATCAAAGGTCAGGCTGTTTACATTGGAATACATAAGACCATCCCTTCAGTAAAAATCCGTGCCTAGGATGTTGCATAGAAATAGTTGCATCTAAAATTCTTATAAGAGACTGCTTCTTCATGATAAACGGTACTACTTAAGACTGGGCTGAAAATACGTAGTACTTGTTGTCAAAATTCAGTTTGCCAAGCAAGTGAGGTGATGTCTGGCTATCTGAAGGTGATTACTATGAGAGAAAATGGAAGGTTATAAAAGAAAAATTGACCGCTCGTTGCTTTGGCTCCAAACCACAATAGTATTTGCACAGTGAGCTTCTGCACTTAAGCTGAACTCTGTTGATGTTAATGAGGTTCAGCCTGGGAAATGGGCTTTATCTATATACAGTCAGTGGCAGAATTGGATTAAAATGCTCCCCCCATTTCAAGTGTCCTATTTTTCAACATACAAAATGTGAAGTTGCAGATGACTACCTATCCACTACTGTGGGTTTACAACAGGTGTTCTGCAACTGCCATTTAAAAAATAATAGGTAGACATAAAGAAGCATAGATGTTTTCTATTAAAAACCAAGACCTACAATTGACTTTCTAAAAATTGCATTTTTATTAAAAATAAAACCCCAATCATCATACATTGCAAAGTCTTTCCTGATTTATGGCTTCATTCATAATACCTTAACTGATGGGGGACATTCATAGCATGCAAAGCTTCAGCACCTGTGGAAGTCCTTGGAGGAAAAGAATCTTTTGTATTTATGATACACATTTTGCATCACTTTGTGTTTGGTTCAAATATATTCTTCAGAAGCATGAAGACGGTTTTTATTTTTCTAAATATGAAAAATGAATTTTGATGGGGTGAGATAAGCAGAAGTGCTTGACTGCATCAGTCTTGCAGCTGGATTCACACAGGTGCAATTAGAGCTTCAAAGTTCAAGTGACTTCATTTTCATATTTGTAACTAAAAGTTTTTGCACTATATCTTCTTGCAATTATCACTAAAATTTTTAGAAGATAGAGAGTAATTTTTTGGTAAAATATTTGAAAGTATGTAAGAGACAAAGAAAACCTCTGGCATTTTTGGATTTAGGGCTAATTAGGTCTTACTTAATTTAGGTGCTTGAGTAATGCTGCCTTAGCACAAAGAGCATTGTTTTCACAATCCTTACATGAGTTAAAAACAGTGCACTTTCATAATAATTGCTGTTCATCTAAAAAACCAGTTTGTTGCTTAGTCACATTCAAAGACCTTATTAGGTTGAAATAAGAATCCTGTAACGTTCAATAGGAATGATTTTAGAAAATATTAGTTTTGGCTGGACTACACTTTATTAAATATATAACTGGAGTATCTGCTTGCTACCAATGTTTAAAATGTGTTGTATGGGTTTTTTCTTCACTTTTTATTACATTGACTTGTTAGAAAAGGAGGATTTTTTTTTGCATATAGCAAAATCCAGTGAAGTAACATTTATTATTTCCTTGTGAATACATGAAACATATTCATCAATGCAGTTCGTTTTCATCTTTTATTCTTCCTGTCTTCCCTGAAGTTTTTGCTGATTTTCTAAGCATTCTTTCAATTTATCTTCAGTCAAAGTCAGACGTTGTTCCAGGATTGAAATAGTCTGCATGAAGAGGACAGTGATTTCAAATTGTTTTTATATTACTCACACAGTACTATAAAAGCGTGCAACATAGTAACATAAGAAAAATAATTTTAAGTGAACAGGAAAGGATGTCCTAAAATGGCTTTTCCTTTGCTATTCCACTGTTTAGAACTGTTTTTAAAAAGAATGGCTTTGTATCTGTGGAGATTGTCTGGAAAGTTTAAAATAGTTTTCATAATGTATTTTCTCTGAGAAAGAAATATATACGTGCATATATAAATTACTCTGAAATACTATGAGAAAGTTGCATCCATATTTTAATAGAGAAACAGCCATCACTGGTGATCCCAAATGATGTCTTCCAAAAACCTAAAAGAAACTTCTAAGGCATCCCCCAAAAAGGAAGTGAGATAATTGTGTACTACCAAAAGGTGTTCTCCAAGAGATTACCTTCATCGGAAAAGGTAGGTTTCTGGACACAGGCTGGCAGTTTTCTTTTAAATCAAATTTACTATGCAAGTAATTTTCAACTGATGATTTGACTCCATACTTCCCAAAACTTATTTCTTGAGTTAACATACATATTGCAAAAGAATGCAGGAAAAAACCCTTAGCCACTCCCTTTTGATTTGGTTTAATGTTAATATATTACAGACTGCAGAGTAGTATCTTAAAGCATAGTTTGGCTAAATCTAGATTACTAAACCGAAGTATTGAGCACTTGCAAACAAGGGACTTGGAGCCACTGAGTGAGACCAGTATTTGTGTAGTTTCACTGACACTAGGAATTATTCCAGTGCTTAGATTCCTACCTAAGCCAACACCTTGAACACTAAGTTTGAAAAGGGATTTAATAGTACATTGCCAATTTATTTTGTTCATCCCCTGCAAATGCATGAGTGTTCAAGCTGGAATCTGACAATGTCTGCTAAACAACTGGCTTCTGGCAAATCTACGCTAGATCTTACTACTGAAAAACAGTGACTCTTTTCCTTCAGAGTTAAAAAGACAACAATAACCTTTATGATTATGTAGCCGGAAGCTTTCACTTTAGCAAACACAATACATGCAATCAATATTTGCTGAAAGGAAAAAACCAAAATGGTCACTTGACTGTACAACCATTCAAAATAAGCCCATAGACTTTAATATTCTGATTTACGAAAACATGGTTCCTGTTTTTTTTTTTTTCCCATTGACAGCATTATTTTTCAGTGCAAGTGTTATCTGTTATTGCACACTTACTAGAGTTAAAACATCCAGCTGCTCCACAATGTGCTCCAAAGCATTACCCAGGGAGGGGGAGATGCCTGTTTCCTTGTCCACATTAAGCACAGCTGATTCGCTCTCATTCTCTGACTTCCTTTTTGAACTTGTTGCCAAGGCTGAAGCAGGGGGATACTGCAGATCTTCACTGCTGACATCATCCTTGAATACAGAAACACCATTTGAAGATTCAGTTGCCTTTGTCTTCATGTAATTGGAACCTTACAAGAAGACAGGCAGAAGAGTCTGGCTTTTAATTTTTTTAAAAAAAAAAACTATTTACATATACGTGCACATATGCAAGGGCCTTCAGCTCTGCTTCTTGTACCAAGTCCAATTTGTAACACTTCAATTCATTCTGATCTAAGAGAGAATTTCAGCAGTGATGGATGAGGCAGTAAGAGAAATCTCAGAAGTCTTTATGTACATTATGTACATGTTTCAGGTACGTACGATTGAGGAACTACATGCTGTACTACCAGAGCATGAATTAAAGCTCAAATAAATACTATTGCTGACTGGAGTTTTCTTCAAAAAGATGGCTCTACTTCACAAAGGAATTCATTCACAGCAGTCACATGGATGAAAAATCCATATGTGACGAGATCATCACAAGGCCTCCTTCCAACTTCATGGTATGAAACCTTTGTTTATTATAAATTAACCTCTTCTTTCAGAATAAAAGAAAATTAAGTAGTTTTTACTTGTTTTTTCAGTGGCATTACTTTTTGAGAAATTGAGTCCTTTGGAAAATGGGAGGAGGAAACAACAGAAAAGACGCACACAATGCAAAGTTAAGAGGGAAATAACTTCAATGTATAAATGCTGCTCCAGGGTAAGTGAGAGAGCATGACATTCCCCATCACTTCTGGTTTTGTTCGTGTCTTGAAGTTCTTAATGGCACTTTTGAGTCAGGAAAGGTTAAATCATCACTAATTCATTAGAAGGTCCTTCATAACAACAGCTGCTTTATTAATTACTTTTTGAGATTTCTTTGAAAACTTCTTATGCCTTCAGATAATTTTAGTTTATTTTTACACTAAAACAAACTTGATGTAGAATTTTTAGTATCTCTAATTATATTTCCAATATCCACAACATTTACAAAAGAAAACTTCTAAATGGTTACAATTTAACTGTTTCTCTGGAATTTATCAAAAGCTGATGAAAATATCCACTAGCTATTGAAAATATCCATTAGCTACTGAAAGGGGAAATTTTAGTCTTACCTGATGTATTTAAAATACACAATATTTAGAATGTACTCAGAATATATTTCTGTTGTAAAGCTGAAGAGATTGTCAAAAGAAAGAGCCTTAAAATCATTGTTAGCCATTAAAAAAAAATTCTCCTAAGTCTATAAAATAATCTTGTAGAATGTAAATCGCTAGGCAGAATTAGTGACAAACCTTTACAAGATTACCTAGGCATGTTGATGAGTTTCTGTCAAGAATGATTTATGTGCAGCTGACCCTGCCTTTGAATCAGGTAGGATCAGAGAGCGGAAGATGAAATGCTACTACTACAATAATGTTATGGTTTTAAATATAACTAACACTAAATCATATCCATATTATCAGGAACTGCTGCCTTATCCACAACACTGTTCCTGTGTCTTCAGTGGCATCCTGCACAGTCCTGCCCAACTAACGTGCTCTGTTCTCCGGACTCACTGTTGCTGATTCTCCAAAATCTTTTCTTCCCTAAGTGCTGGGGTTGTGCTGTCTACATCAATGAGAGACAACTAAGCAAGAGACAAGTTGTGTCCACCATCTACCTGAAAGGGCTTTTCCTTTGACTAGGAAAGCAGAAGAGCAAACCGAAAAGCCGCACACACACAGAGACAGTAGAAGACTGTGGGTCTAGGGAGGGGAATGGCTGAAGGAAGAGACTGTGGTGGGGTAAAAGGGTTTCATATCTTAGGAAGATGAGGGCAAAGAAGAAAGTCTCACCACCCTCTCGGGGTTAAAAGCTCCATTGTGCAGTGAAGTTCTGCAAGGACAGGTCTCAGCCCCTGAGCAAGAACCCATGATGAGCAGAGCATGGGGGTGACGGGGATAGGGGGAGATATGCATGCATATACTTCAGACCTCAACTTGCAATGCTACAAAACCACATGGAACCATTCTCAAGGTTTGATAATACCATGGTATTTGGCGATATGTCACTTTCATTGATTTCATTATGATGAAAGAAACAGATAAATGAACTAGAAGGTACCTCCAGTTCCCTTTCAGCCCTCTTTTCTGCGCTTGGTGACTGATTTATGCAAATGAACCAAGTATGTAAAGTAATAAATGTCTGATGCAACTAATACTGAAATCCATCAGTGATTTGTATTGATACTGGGTTGTGTCAAAAAATGAAAGCGTGCTAGACATCAAACTACAGATTTGAAACATTAGACATTAGGCTGTTCTACAGAATGTCCTAATGGTTACAACATTTGCATTGGACTACAGAGAACTGGCCTTCTCAGTCTAAGGCTGTTTAATATCATGGGTTACGACACAATGCTTTGTCAGCCAGGCTGCTGCCTTTTAAAAGCATGAAACTGTGGAAGAGAGTACTCTCTCCAGCCCTGCTGTTTGAGTTTTGCCACTGGTCAACAGAAAGCAGCTTTAAGTCAGTGCTTAGGATGTCCAGTCAGGAGCAGTAAGTCCTGTTCCCATGAGAGTCTTTATATTATATATGTAAGGGGACAAAATTAATAAAAACTCCACAGGAGAAAGGATTTGAACCCAGAACTTCCCTACTCCTAACTAGGTGGTTTAATTACATCTTTCTTTCCAGTACCATGAATTTCAATTTCTTCTCAATAGGAAAAAATCTTGTGATGTCAACTTCAAATTATTCCAAAGAATTGTACATTGTGAAGCAGTCACTTGTTAGCACAAAATGAAATAGAATATAAATGGTTTGATTTTTGGACAAGGTAGGCAGAAAATGAATTTCCCATTTAATTTTGCTTTGCTTTAGCTCCTTGCTTTAAAGTGTTAGAAGTCCTCAAAAGAGAGTGTTCTGAATATCTCAGAATATTCTGGCTCACAATGAGTCCCATGTACTTTTAGATGAGCACGAAGTATGTAGGATTATTGCATCTTAAGACTGTCCATATCTTCCCTTTGCAGATTTCATTATATGAGATACTATTAATTCAATCCTAGAAGAGCTCAGGTTCACTTTGTTATTTCTGACTTACCAAGTTATATCTGAGGTCCTTGGGAAACAGGATTAATGGAAGGTTTTTGGCATGCTTACTAAATCACAAGATGGACATGGTCTCAAATGCTGATCAACATGGAAAAGATTAAGCCCAGTTTGGCATTTGAATGTTAAAGAAAAGATATTGCCATACATTAAAGAATTCCTGCCTTACAATTAATCATACTATGAAGAACATCCTTGTATTTAACTCAACAGGAGAGTCTGTTAGAATAGACTTCTTAGTGAGATTTCTTTAGAAAGATAGTGAGACTACAGAAACCTTCCTTCTGTCTGTAAATCTTGACTGCTTGCCCAGAAGCTTCCAAACCTCAACCAGGATTAGCTAAATTTGACAGACAGGTAGAAGGCTCACTTATTAAGTTGCAACAAATTTCAGGAAAATTGGAGGCAGGGTAGATGGGACACGTTGCAGGAAAGATAGGTAGAACTCAAGCATTATATATTCTGCATGGCAGCAGTAAACCCACCTGGTTATCACATGCCTTATGAAACACAGGCAGTTGATAAGGGAAGTTAAAAGTGTCAGTGAAAAACAGCCAGTTGGTGCAGCAACAATTTGTGAAGCTTATGCAATTATTCTTTGTAGACACCTCTATGTGTCCTCTGAAAATTTTGGCACCTTTTGCTGATTTTAATCAAACCTAATGAAGAGGTAGGGGTCTCAGACTTAATTAAGTTCCTGGAAACTTCAGGAAATCATTTGCCAGAGTTTCCTACCTGAGGTTAACTCAGCTCTACAAGTTCACACTCCTTAGCTCTGAAGGGGAGTAAGGATGTGAGTTCCAGAAGCGCGAGAAAGACCCAGGATGGAACCCACATCTTCCCAGACACCAATATCAAAAAGCTCATTGGAAAGAAACCTGGCCTAGTTTGTCTGATGTTAACAAAGCTATTTGTATTAATGTCTTGAGAAGTACATTCATTTTCTTGCCCTTTGTTACAAGTAATTAAATAACACAGCCAAAACAGATGTAGCTGCAAACTTCCACTGACACTGTCTGACTTTGCTTAAAGGCATGCTGCTTTGCAAGTTCAGTGTCCTAAGGATAACCTATTAATTCTCAAGTACTTAAAAATAATAAAAAATAGATTTAACATTCAATGGCATTCAAATTAAAAATTTGCTGTCTGTGATTTGAAGTATTAGGATTTAAAATTACTTTAAATTAAAGGAGCAGGAGAGGAAAACAATCTGAGGTTATTAGACACTGACAAGTTCTCCTAAAAACAGTTCTACTCTGAGGTTGGTGTTTCTCAGTGTCTTTTCAAATAAGACTGCTGTACTTCAGACTGAAAATAGAGATTTCCATTTAAGCTCCCACAAAGTGATTACAAATTTTGCTATTACAGCCAACTTAAATAGATTCTTCCAACCCAAGGAGGAAAGCTGTCAATTCAGGTAAACAGAGCAAATGCTAAGCTACTAAAAAATCTCACTAAACTTTTTTTTACAGTAAAATTGATCCAAAAATCAATGTATCAGACAAATAGGCTGTGAAAAATGCTTTGTAGATCAGTAAATTGCCACCACCATTGCCAAGTCAGAGTACTGGAAAAGTCTTCTTGTATTTTAGTGGGTTAAGCAGGAAATTGAGATTCTTCTGTTATATACTCAAAGATGTATAGGGACAATGCGACATGGAAGTGCTTATATCAATAAGGCAAAGGTCTCAATGTTTGTTAAATCTGAAAGGCTCAAATACAGATAAGTGAATAATTGAACTTTCAAAATTAGTAAGAGAGAAACGAAATGAGACAGTTTCAAATTCTCAACTTAGATAAGTTGTGCCAAAATGGTTGTTATTGTTATCATATTCAGGAAATTTGTAGAGATTTTTGAACATTGTCAGACGTCAAGTATGCTGCTATATCCTTCGAGGTGCCTGCTTTATATTTTAAACATTTTTAGTATCTAGGTTTACAATCTCCTCCAG